AAATACTAGGACATGAATAGTGTTTTCACATTTAAGACTTGATTTTGTATGGTTAATATTTATTTCAAGAAGTTCTGAAATATGTATTAGAAATAGCTTTATATTGTTAAGTTTTGAGGAACTCTCAAAAGCTGTGCACAACTCATTACTATTGGTAAAGAAAAATCAAAGGTATCAACAAAAGTTCTCTTTGCACAATGAAGAATAATTTCCTTACAGTTCCAGAAACACTTAGTTATATCATGGACAAAAGTAAATATGTTATGAAATAATGGCTAATTATGACTCTCTGTGCCACAGATGGTTCTTCACTGCCACTTGAGCCTACATCAAGTCTGTCCCCCATGGCAACAAGAAAAAAAAAGGGACTGAGGAGGGTGCAGTGCAAGAATCCTGAGATTAACCGTGGCAAGTGATTTGCTGTCTCTGTAGCAATAATAACAAGGAGGTAGTGTTTACTTATTTAATGGACAAAAGCGGGGAAGAAATGGTACAAATGTAAAGTTGGATAAAAAGAAATTGCGGGTTGTAGAAGCAGAAATGCAAAAGAAGATCAGAAAAAGGAGACTAAGAAAACTCTTCCAAGGATCAGCATTTTCCTTCATCTCAGGAAACAGTGCTTCCGAAATGTAAAGGCAGTTTGTTTTTGAGAACAGCAAAAGGAAGATCAGTGCCAGAAATTTCGGATAAAGAACCAAGAGAGCATAAATTCATGTTTTCTGACTTCCCTGGGGTGGTGGTTGTCAGTGTTGTTCAGCAATCATATTTCTTAGCCCGAGGTCAGTGGTTGTCAACCCAGGCTGCACATTAGCATTAGATGGGGAGCTTTAGGAAATATTCATGCACAGACCTCCACCCTCAGATAGTCTGATAGAATTGGTTTGGGTGTAGCAAATAGAATGTAGGTTTGTCAAGGTCCTCAGGTGATTCAAATAGGTTGCTAAGGCTGAGAACCATAGTCTGACTAGGGCTCAGGAAACGTTTTTTGGCGAAGAGCAAGAGAGTAAATAATTTTCGCTTTGCGGGCCAGAAGGGATCTGTTGCAACTATTTAGCTCTGCTGTTGTGGCACAAAAGCAGCCACAGACAGTAAGTAAGTGAATGGGTGTGACTGTGTTCCAATATAACTTTATTTGTTACAAAACTGTCAGTAGGCTGGACTGGGCCATGGGCCACAGTTTACCCACCCCTGGCTGTTAGGCTGTTTCGTCTTCCCTTCTCCAAAACAGCTGTTCCAAACTTTCACTTTTACCATCACTATGCCTCTGCTTTTCAGCAGATGACCTCTCAGGCTACTTCAGTGTGAAAACACAGGCCATGGGGCTGGAAATCTTTCAGCCTTCCCACCCATGACCTACAGATTTACTACCCTACGTTTGCACCTGCCCTCATTTCTTTGCCCCCCACTGTAGAAACAGCAGCATCCCTTCTTGTCAAGGGGAATCTAATTCTTTCACTTATACTCATTTCCATTACTCTCCTAGACTCCTTTGGGGCATAAAGGAACCCATTTCCTATGTCTTTAATTCCTCCCTCTCTACTGGCTCTGTCCCCTTTCACTAATACATATACTGAAGTTTCTTAATCCAAGACACCTGAAAGCCTCCCTCAATCCTGTGTCCTCCTCTAAATACCTACGGTGCCTCCCCTTCCCCTAGAACTTCTACACCTACTGCCTCTACTGTCTCCCTCCCCATTCACTTCTCAAGCCACTACAGTCTGGCTTCTGTCTCCACTACACCACTGAAAATGCTCTTGTCAAGATCACCGAAGACCTTCATATGACTTGTTTCTAGGTCTTGTTTTACTTGTTTTCTCTGATGCATTTGACATTGTTAACTCTTCTGAAAACTCTCACCGCTTAACTTTGGCAATACCATGACATATCTGCCATGATGAGCTCGGCCACTGCTGCTCACCGCTTACACGATGCTACTCCCCAATGTTGTCTGACAAACTCCCTTTGCTTTTTATACTATGTATTCGCTCAACTATTCTCGTGGCATCCACCACCACCTACATGTGATAACTCCCACAGTTTAACTCTAGCTCACATCTCTTTCTCAAGCTCTAGGTTCCTATTTTCAAATCTCTATTGTAAGCTGTACTCAGGCATCTACTTTCCCATCTTAATCTGCTCTTTCTTCCTTTATTCTCCATTTTGGTTAATAGCTTCACCACTAACCCAAATGCCAAAAATAAAACTCTCTCTCCCTTAGGGCCCCTAATAATCCACTATTATGCAAATTAAAAGAACTGTCCTACCTGAAGACACTTTATTTCCACCTGTGCAGTGAATGGTAATCGTACATGTTCAACCATACATGGTGGTCCTGCTTTCCCTCCAGATCCAAACAGCCACCAAATCCTGATGATTCTACCTCTAAAATATCTCACGAATCCATCTCCTTTTAGCCATTGCCACTGCAATGTTTTAAGGCCGACTTTAGTCATCCCTCACCAAGATTCTTTTCAGTAACTTCCAAACAGACTTTTTTTTTCAAACTTGCCTACATTAGTAGCCCCTGCTTCCTTTTCTTATTTAACTTCCTCCTTAGGACACTGCCCAATCCTATTTTCTCTTTGCTAAGTGGCAGTTAACAAAACCTTTTGCCTACCGTATTTCAGTAGCAGAAGTGCCATGGTTTTACATAAGGGAAGAGCAAGCCCTTCTCTTTGGTTACCCTCTCCTCTTGATGAGGTATATTTCACTTAGCTTTTTGATCATAGCAAGACAAGGTGCTAAAGTAATTAAGACAGACTCGACTCTGGGCAACACACTTTAAATAAGATGATGACAAAATGGAGTGCCCACCGAAGATGGTGATCTACATGGTGAAGGGACTCCCAGTCACAATCAATGAGGAGTGATGGGAAGAATTGGAAGATTTATCCTGGAGAAGATTCAAATTCTTTCCTGGAGCAGATTAATCTGGGTACTTTTACCCTATATGAACTCCAGGATTATCAATCAGACATCTTTGCTCCTTAACAAAAACACTTGCTTTTCCTTAATAGGAAATGCTTCCTTGTGGATCATTTTCCTTAATAGGAAGTGTATGCAAAGCTTCCCACATTTTGCTGTCTGTTAGCCTGCCCACCATGGAAAGGAGACCACCAGTCTACAATGTCAATTCCCCTGGGAAGCCTTCCTTAGAAATGAACTCATGTTGACATTTACCTGTTTCCTGGAATAATAGTCAATTTGAATAGCAGGCTATGAATTTTTGACATCATTCCCTAAATGCAATACTGAATGTCCTAATTTACTTGAGTAGGGGCACCTGACATATTATCTAACTTTCATGACCTTTTCTCATTCTAACTTAAATACTATTCCCAAAATCTTTCTTTTTTAATTTTACTTCATTGTTGCAAGATTAAAAAAAAAAAATCAACCTTTCTCATCAGGGCACTGTAAGGGTGACCACAACTTAATGAAATTCCAGATTCTTTACCAGTAATTATATCCTATGCCATCTGGTATTTACATTCTCAAAAGTATGCCTGGTAAATTCCATTTCCTTTCCATGCCTGCACAGTAGTTTCAGAAAGCAGTCATTTATTTTATTAAAAACCTACCTTTGCATCTGGTCCTGTTGAGGTAAGCCATTGATCTCAATGAGGTTAATTAAAATGCTTCATTATTAAACTCTCTTACCTTAATGCACAAATCCAAGAAACAAATCCCCTCCCCTATCATTTATAATGGCAATGTATTAACAGAGTAATAGATTTCATGGAGTTTGTAATAAATTCAAATCTCTCATTTATAAAAAGAATAAACCCCCTGCATTTGTTAAACAAGAAGATAGCTGAAATGGCCTGACAGGAATGCTGACAGTGAGCAAGGTGTGAGGATTATGCTGATAATTAATCTTGTGTTTTAATAAAAAAATGGACTACCCGGTTTACCGAATGAATGGGCCCTTGGTAGATTTAGTCTTCTACATTTCCTTCCCATCTTGGCCTCTGAAAAACAGGGTTATGACATGATTTCCATCATGACTGCCAAGAGCCTTTCTACACAACTGCCTTTGAAATGAATTCAGGGCACAGGCAAAAACTAGAGTGTTGAAAGGTAACCAAAGCTGCGGTTTGAGGAATAGATTTCTCTAGTCATGGTAATAGCCCCCATTAGGCTATCTAGCAGGAAGTATGGCAAGCAATTTTCTCTTTTAACATCTTATCCTTTTCTTAAAATATATGAAATACAAAACAAAGAGTTAAAAATATTCGAATAAGTGGTCTCCTGTAACCTGTAACTAGATCTACTTTTATGAATGAAATCCTAACCCTGGTACTTTACCCTTTTTGCCTATTCTAAAATGTTGAAAATATTTTAAAGGCATAATCCATCTTTATGTTCCTAAATGGATTGTTGTCTACGCTGTTAATAAATTTCTTGGAAAAAGTTCCATGTTTTTACTCTGTTCATGACAACCTTGTAAGAAAAAGACCAGCAGGAATTTGTATGTAAGGAGAGGTTGAACTGTGCTTGATGGAAAAACAGCATTTGAAGTAGAGACAGGAAACATAACCTAACTGAACTGAGGAAACAGAAACACTTCTAGAACTGTTCTTTATGTCCTAGAGTTTATTTGAGGAAGAACTCTCATAATTTCTTTAGGAGTAAACCTAGATAAATACACATGGACTGAGTTGTAGAAATGACTTTGCTTCCCACAGCTACAAAGCAAAACAGCAGACAGATCACTGTACTATGTGCTACATAAAGTAACAAATATCCCAAATGACATCGTATGCAAAAATGGTTAGTGGATCTTTGATTTTATACCAAACATGTTAGCTTCAAATGGTTAATTGGTATAGAAAGGAGTGCCACTGGAAGTTATCTTGTCCCCTCAAGGGATGTAGTTCCATCAAGAACACCCTCCCTCGCCTCACAGAAACCTGAAGTGATAACACATATACAGTGCATTTATTTTGTATCTGATGAAAACTGGAACAATCAAAACATGAACACAGTGAAAGGCTTACCGAGGTGTACAGGTATCCCTCGCTGTTCATTGCCAAATACAGCTTGGTTTGAACTCCTTGAATAGCCACTACCCGAAGACCCACAGGGATGAGGTTGAACAGAGCTGAAATCAAAAAGAATGTGAAAATAATGTTATAATGATGAATTCCAAAGCCTTTCAGTATTTCTAGCAGGACTGTCTGGATCTCCAAAAGTAGTATGTGCATGGTAAAAAAATATATATATATTTTATACATATATGTGTGTACACATACACACACACACAGATATAGATAGGGTGTCTACCTTTCAGTACACTGAATTCGTGTTTGCAGTCACTTAACTGGGGCTATAACTATATATTCTTGAGCACCCTGGAGAAAATGGAAGACAATTCCTTGCTTTGTATAGTGTTGGAAGTGAGGAATCTTGATTCTTCTGGAGAGACCCAGTTCTAGGAATTAGTCTACGTATTAAGTAGCTTTATCCTCAACAAACTGAGGTTTTAAATTGCTCCCCTATACAACTGCTGAAATTCACAGACAGTTCTGATCCATCAGTTGGGAAGAGAGGCCTACTACCTTAGAAGAGACATTAGTCCAACTCCCTCATCTAAATTATCTGTACTATTTCCAGTGGAACAACCCCAAAATAAATCTAGGCTTAAAAAAAAAGGCATTTTTGTAGTCTTCTGCTCCCAGAGTAGTATTTCTTAAAGAACCAACATTTTTCCAAGATAGGGTTGAGGGGGGCCCTAGCTTAGCCTCCAGGAGCAAAGGTTATAAAAATAAAAATAATGAACTTGAGAGGTTTGTTTATTTTTTTATTTTGCAAGATAGTTGTAAGTGGGCAGCCTGGCTGGGGCCAAAGAGGCCTTCATTTCTCCATTTGAAGGTCTGACTGCGCGAAACTTCCACCCAGCCTCTCCTCACAATCACACACCACTCACTGGAGAAAACCAGTGGGTGTCCTCCCCCTAACCAGCTGTCTACTCCTCCTACACTGTGAATAAAAATAAAGCAGTACATTTTTATAACGTAGTGCTTGCCACACACATTTTTTGAAAATAGCCTGTGCACCTTTCTCTCAAGAGTCATAGACCAGTGTTGATGATTTTCGCCTTGGTGTTGAAGTTTATTGAGGATGATACATTGGTGGGCTATCGTTTCTGTGAACACGAATGTAAAAATCACCCCACGGGTAAGAATAGCTTCCCTGAGATCTCTTATCTTGGTGCACATATATTCTGCTGCGGCAGGTGGAGTAATATAGATGAGAAATATTAATGAAGAACTAAATATGCCTTGGTGAGCCGACAATGTATCTTTCCCTTAAAATCAGGGCATTACCAAAGAGAAGCTAGGACATATTGTACAGTTCAAAATACAAGTGTTCCTACCACATGCCACTGATGGCACTTCATTAAATGCTCATAATATTAAAAGCTGTGCCCTTCTGTTATGTGAGGTAAAGGAAAGTAATTGCACAGATTGCAAGCCAGGATCTCATGCTATATTTGACAATGCAATGCACAGGATAGAAGTCTGGTATCTTAGAGCATGTCATGTATATGATATAGCACTTTCTGCTGACAATGCCCCGCCCACAGCAGGTACTCAATGCCCATTTATGGATTGATAGCAATCTGTATGCTGCAAACATGGTAATGTTATATTTTGGGGATGTAATAGATCACAATCCCATTATATAAAAGCTCATAGTTAAAAACTCTGAGATATAAAAATTCAAATGAAACCAAACAAAAACCTCCATATGGGTTTGGTTTCAAAGTCATACCACTAGACAACTAGGATACCAGCACGTCTGAATCCTAGTTGAAGTAACAGATGACAAACAGCGATAACGAAATTCAGAATTGTTTCTAGAACTCCATTTCTTACAATATTCTGAACCTCCTTAATTCTCTTAATGCAGCCTGTAACAAGCAAAAAAATAAATAAATGAGAGTGAAAAAGATATGATTTTCACTGTATACCCCACCCACTCTCTGACGTGAGTTTTAATGAGCAATAAAATGCTTGAATTCCAAACATCAGATAGCAGTAGGAGGAAGAGAAGGAAAGCATATCAGTAATCCATGTCTGGGATTATCTATTCCTGAATAATGGTATTAATTATATAGCAGAACATGGAATTTTTCACTATGTACCATACATTCCTATGAAACCTGATTTAAAAGCAAAAAAACCCACTACTTTAAAATAACCAAATAATGAAGACAGCAGCAGAGGTAGAGGGTGGCTGGTCATACTAGTCCAGTCTTTTCTTTAGACATTTAAGATAGATCATGAATGGAGTTGATTTAAAAGCCTGTCTAAAGAGACAAACTTCCGAGATAAAAATGCAAAGAAATCATATCAGGGGTGAGCCTGGACAGAATCAGTGTTTTCCTATATGCCTTTGTTCCTCTAAATCTGGAATACTTTTTCATGGGCTTATGATATTATTTTGACTAGGATGAAAATATTCTAAATATGAGAAAATTTATTCATTTCATTTGTGTATCTAAAACACACTCATTAAATACCTAAAATCTCCTCTCCCATTTCCATCAAAATTTTGAAGAAGCTTTTAATAAATAAAAAGGCCTTTGATTCTTTGTTTTGTTCTCTGTTGTATCTACATAAACACAACTAAACTCCTACCTTGAAGGACCATCTTCTTAAGAGGTGAGTACATAGTTGACACTTGATGTTTGCCGAATATGACACTAAGGCCATCCTTCATCAGTTGGACTAAGGTCAATTTCTCAAAGGGAGTAATTAATAAAAGTATATCCTAATGTAGATTGGAAAGACTTGACACATTGCACTGGTAACTACTGGAGAGTTGAAGGGAAGGTTGCCTATTCTTTTAAAATAGCCTTCATTGCACCCAAAGCAGATAGAATAAAACTGCTGCCATGAAATGTCTATCGTATTTTCCTTTTCAGGGGGAAATACATAATCTACAATAGCTGATTTGCTTATTATGAGATTTTTATTGGACTGACATTTTACCACTGTAATAAAACCACCTAAGGTCAGCCTAAATGGGTAATATCAAACATGCTTTTAGAAATTGATGTATCTGGGTAAATGTAAACTGATTTGTTTTACCATGTCCTTGCTTACCATGTTAGAACTAAAACATAATATCAGTCAAATTGAATTACATGAAAAAAATATGAAAAATACTAAAAATTAATTAAACATGAAAAATATAAACATAATACCAGGAATACATATTAAGGAAGTACTATATAAATAGAAGAGTCGATGGTTGGAGGAAAAAAGAAAACAACTTGTAGTCTTGTTCCACTCATTTAAAATAATTAATTAAATGATGAATGCCAAGAAAACTGCTTGACTTTAGGGGAAAAGAAAAGAATAAATTTTCATAGCTAGACTTGTTTTTATGACGATCATTTTCATCATTAAACATTCTTGTTTCAGGATGGCTTCTGCCCTGCAATATCCGCCATGGGGAAGATAAGCTGGCTTCCTGGTTTCTGGTCACACTTGGTATCACAGGAAGAGTCAAGCCCCACAGACTTGCTATTTCTTTTAAGATACTTTTCATTTGTGCACTTCACGTTATGGTAATACTCACCCATCAGTTGACTTACCTCTCATTATTTCATTTTGCCTAAACACAGATTCTGGTTATCAGGCTATGCTCTTTAAAGGCCTTACAATATCATTAGTACACAGGAATGCCACACATATCAGTCAAAAGTTATAAGAGAACCAAAGGCAGAAGCTATGCATATATAGGAATCGAAGAGTAAAACCTACTACAGGATTTCAAGCTCCCTACTAAGAAGCAGAGCCTTGATTTGCATATATGTGTGTATATGTATGAATATATATACATATCCTAAAATGACTACATACAGTGTGATCTTCATGCATTTGGCATATTGCTATTTATATTGCTTAAAAAAATCTTCTAATTTTTTTTTCCCTTTTCAGGAAACACATGCGAACACTGGACCCAAAATAATTTTTTTCTCTAATTTTGATCTGAAGAAAATGTTAAAAATACATGGGAGGAAACTTCAATGGGAGGGGCTCATTAACAGCTTATCATGAACTTTCTTTCAGTAATGCCCAGTGGATCTATTTTGCTGACGTTTTGGAAAACAGAGTACTTTATGTCCCTAATTCCTTCCCCAAACACCAATTTGTACATATAATTTATAGGAATGTTGCATTACTGATCATTATGTACTAATGTCTGTTATACACTTACAGTTAACCATTCTAGTCACACTTGACTTTTTCAAATAGAAGAGTATGTATAAAACAACATCTAGGCTGCATATTGTAGAACTTTAATATCACAACAGTAACATAGCTTTTCACAAAATAGTAAAGAACCACGTAGCATGTTTTTCATTCTAGGTATCAACAAGGCTTTCTTCAAGGGCACTTAAAGGTGACTCCCTCTTGGGGTCATGCTTGGCCATCAGCCCAGGATGCATTCTTAACAGGTGCGAATCTCTTTAACACTTAACACTGGGACCTGTCTGTGGCTTTGCTGTCTACAGCAAAGCATCTCTAAAAGTGCTGTGAGGGACTTGTTAGCATTCAGACCAGCTTTCTTGGCTGTTTTCTGTTTTTTTAGCCAACAATGAGACTATTTCTGGGAAATTACTTAAGTTTGAGGAAAATGCAATATAAATCAGGGAAAATGGAGAAGGAATTGTGAGAACTAGATGTTTTAGCCTCATGGAACATTTATTTACTAGGTCTGCAGAAATCTGTAAATTGCAAGAAAACATCAATTTTATTATTGAAGAGAGGGCTTCACTATTTTTGACTTTATGCTATTGTTACTCCAAATAAATAAAGCAGATGTAATAACAGGTTATGTAACATCCTAGAATCACCTTACTTCAATATTTAAAAAGACAATGGGCTTTATTTTTTACGTGTTTCCTTCTTAGGCTCACCATTATGGTCTCGGACGTGGTCTTTACTTAAACCATAGTTAAAAATAAAGCACTAAAAGAAATCTCTTGATCCACCTGTGCAGGTGTCTCAGTCTTAAAATTCCAATTAGTCTCAGTCAGAGTCATCAGTGTATGTGTGTGTGTGTGTGTGTGGAGCAGGGAGCAGAAGTGAAAGCTTGCAATGATGAATTATCATGACATGAAACTACTCTTCTCAGGATGAGACGGGTTCTTAAGAGTAGCGATAACATGCTATTTCAGGATCAGTGTGTGGGTGAGTAAATTTTCTGTGGGAAAAAAGTAATAAAATCCAAAGGACAGCCACAAATCTATCCAGATTACCATGGAGATGACATTTGGATTCTTCTTCAGATGGTGTCAACATTATTTGCTATAGTTCACTATTTTAGATATTGTCATGTTCAACTTCCTTTCTATGAACCTGCATAAACGGGATTATGTAGTGTTGACTCTATTTTGCATCCACTCCAGAATTTGGCAAGGGTTGTTTTATTTATTAAAAAATAAAGAAGACAAAACAATATTAACAACATGCTAGGGTATGCTATTTCTTTTGGTGTCACTTACTGTAAGTGCTGTCCTCGTCTTTTGTGCCATCAATGGTTCCATCTGCCTGCAGCTGCAAGTGGTAGCCTTGTCGGCTGTACAGTTTGGTAACTATACCCTTAAGCTGAGGCTCTGCAAAAAGAACAATGGTTTGGATCAATTGATCATTTGTGCATGTCTAGTTGAAAAGACCCAGTATTCAAAACTCTAATTCCATTTACACATTTTATTGGAAAAGGTCAAACTATAATTTTAAAGAGTCCTAAAGGAAATAAACAAACCCCAAGTGTCAGAAAAACAACTCCAAATGGAAGAAACATTTGATTTCTACCTGGTCAACATTAGTAAAGCCCTAAAGCTTCTGTCGGCAGCTCGTTTCTGATAGCATGTCCTTTGGCTTACAGAGTGGTACTCTAACTCACTGAGCATTGAGAATGGGGTGGCAAATGGCATATTCTGCCTTTTAATAAAATGCCACTTTCCATGTGGGAAGAAAAGGAGAACTACAAAGATAATTTAGAGTGGTTTGCCAACCAGGGACCAAAAAACACACTAGCAAAGATTTCCCTCAGAATTGCCGTAATTTGAATAAATAGCCCCCTCTGTTCTAAGGAGGCTGAAAATGCATAAGTAACCTGGAACCCCATCAAAGGACTTGTATTTAGAAAATCGAGCCAGGCTACCAAAAAAGGGGGTAGTGGAGAATTAAACAACCATTATCATTCCCTAGCATATTAATTATCCTTAGGGGAAAATGGGTGCAAAAAGAGCAGGGTAATTTTGTTGGTGGGGAGGAAAGAAAATGAGCTCATACTTGCTTTCAAATTTAATATCAGAAAAATGATTATCCAAAATGTGTTCTCAATTAAAATGACTCTCAATTTATGAATCACCATAGAGTAATAAAGTACCCAATTTACCAAAAACAGCCATGTTATCCAAAATGTGCTTTTAGTGAATATAGAAACCTGCACTGAAATAATATTTATGTGATTTTTGGGGCCACACAATCACGCTTTGCAACCACTTAAGCCTTTTAAAAACAAGCCTAATTTACAGCTAATGCCTTAAAAACTTTGAGCAAACATAAAACGTATGTCTGCATTTCCATTTCAAGGTGTGCACAACACATAAACTGAGTAATAACAGCTTGATGAATGAGCCTGAAGTCCTGCAATACTTATCCAGTTAAAAGTAAGAAAAGACTGTAAAGGATTCTTTTGGTTAATGGCCAAATAAGCCGCATGTTCGCCTGAAGGTTTACCCTGATGCAACCAGACACTTAGAGCTGTGTGAATTTCCCCAGGCACCAGGATCTCGCGCTACTCTTGTCACTGAATAGGTTCAGAAGAACTCACAATCTGGCTGTGAGTTGAAATTCTCTCTTCAATCCTACATTTTGGTAGCAAGTAACCAAGTTTTACTAGTCTAACCAGGTCACTAAGCTCTTTGCCAGAGGGTTCTATGAATCCACTCCCCTCTCTCCAGCACATTATTTCAAACCTGCACAAGTCTGTCGTGGTAAGCTTAAAAGTGATCAAAGAAACAGAATGCCTAGACAGGGGAAGCCCAGGCCCTTGGGGGTTGGAAGCGGAGGGGAAGGGTCAGAGATGCGGGAGAAAGCGAGGGATTCCCCGGGTTCTCCTGGGAAGACGGGGAGTGCAGTGATGTCTGCCCAGCTTGGCGCCTGCTATCTCCACGCCACACGCAGGATACCCATGTCCGGGTCAAGGCTGCCCAGAGCCCAGGGCATGCACACATGTGGCCGGTCTAAGGCGGCGGGCGCGCCTCCCGGGCAGGGTAGGCCCCCAGGCTCTGCGCCTGTCCCAGGGCAGTAGCAATGCAGCAAGCCTGGCACTATTACGAAGGAGGCAATCGCTTCCCACGCCCGCACACCGGCTAGGTAGCCGCATCCGCACCAGATGGGCCCCCGGCAAACTCACCTACGCTCACATACACGCCCTCCAGCCCCCTGCACACTAGTAAAGTATGGGGGGTGGGGGGAGAAAGCGAGCCAAAAGCCCCTTCCAACCTGGTCTCCTTCTACGCCTCTTCTTGGAGCCGAAGAGTTTGACCCGGGAAAAGACGTTTAACTTGTTTTTGTCGCAGCTGGTCTTGCCTTTGCTGGGGCTGCTGACACACTTGCAAGCGTTGGATTTCTCGCGCTCGCGGGCTTGTCTCTTCTGCCGGATCAGCGAGCTGGCGATAGCCGCCGCCATGGCCACGACGCCCACCACCACCACTTCTTTTGCTGCTCCTCTCCGGCTTCGGCGCCTCCTCCCGCGCCTCCGCGGCTCGCCCGCTCGGTCTCGCACCCTGGCCGCCTGCGTCTCCCCGGCCGGCGCTCGACCCGGCTGCTCCGCACTCCGGCGTCAGCCGAGGAGGGGGCTCAGCATGCCGTCCGAGCTCCTCCGGCGCTGGTCCGGTTCCCGCGCGGGCTGCTGGCTGCCCGGGTCCAGCCGACGCCACAGCCCCGGGCCGGGATCGCAGCGAGACGGACAGGCGGAGGCAGAGCTGCGCGACTGCGTGCGCTCGGCCCTGCGCCCCGAGGACACTGTGCAAGTCCGGGCGGCTCGGGCCGGAGTTTCGCGGCACCCCCCGCCCCGTGCCACGCGGAGGGGGCCGGGCGGGGAGGCGGGAGGAGGGAGGAGGGAGCGCGGGTGGGAGAGAGGCGGCGAGCGCGGGCGGCGGGAGGGAGGAGGCGGAGGGAGGGCGCGCGCCCTGGCCCTGGCCCCTCCGAGCCGCCGACTAGTCCCTGCAACTTCTTGGCCTGACCCTCGGGAGGAGTTGGCCTGTGCCAGCTTTCCGACGGGGCTCAAACAGGTAACGGCCCGGCATCTTCGCGGCGGCGGCGGCTCTGGGCGCGGCACAGTCTCAGCAGAGGAATTCCGTCGCCGCGGGCCCCTCCGGAAGAGCGCGCCGGCCTCCGCCGGCGCCCCCCCCACCGGAGCCCCTCCCTCTCTCCCTCCCCGTTTGCGCCCTCCCTCCCTCCCTCGCTGCTCCTCCCGAGCCTGCCCCACCCGCGGGGCCCCGGACGCTCGGGCTAACACCTGTAGGGGCCAAGGCCGCCCCCCGCCGCCCCACCCTTCTCCCCGCCTCTTCCCGAAAGGTGCCCCAGGAGGAAGGCGGCATGGAGGAGGCCCTGGCGGGCTGGGGAGTGGGGCTGGGGACCGGGGGTGACTGGGAGACGGGGGATGCCGGTTGGGTGTTTCGTTAGCGTTGATTCTGAGCTGGGTAGATGACGCCCGGGCTGGAGCGCCGGGGAAGTTCGCCAGCTCCCTGACCCGGGCAGGGACTCACATCGTATCCCCTTACCCCCACTACCGCGGAGGTATTTCGCTCGGCGACACTTGTAGCCACCCGGGATAGAGGCCCGGGCCCCAGGCGGGTTCAGCCCCCGCGGTAGCGGCAGCGGCTGCAGGCACTGCAGAGCTGCGCCCGCGCACCACGCTGCCACCCAGTGGTTTTTGCTGGCTTTTCACTTCAAGTCAATTTCTGCGGTCCTAACCCGGTTTTTCCTCTGCGCCCCCTCATCATTCCGTTCGGGTTTGGCATCCAAGCAGAGAGCTTGGGTCGTGGACCATAAGCAGTATTTGGGAAATGCAAACTTAGCCTCCTTATTTAAGTCCTGGCCTATCCCCAATCTTGTAACTTTTTCTTTTTTCCTGCTCCTCAAGCTCAGGCAGCCTCTCCCTCCAATTCAGGAATGAAGTTTGGCTTTTTTGCTCGCCCCACTCCATTGATAAGTTCTGTCCTTTCCCTGTTCTATAATTTAATCTTGAGGAGAAAACAGAAGTTTTGAGGTCAAGAATGCAAGAGAGAATTGTCTATCCACATCTCTACCTTCAAACAGATGCGATTATTTCACCATTTCACGTGACTCCTGATGCCAAAAAAGAAGCCCCCAATAGTAGAGCTGCTCTACGTTGGAGCTGTCACTGTGCACCTCTAGGACCCCTTCCCAGATTTGTTCAGAATTGAGGTAGATGCAAAACCAAATGCCCAGACTCTGGTCCTTTTCTTGCCTGAGCTCCCAACTAAGAGATTCTTTCAGGCTTCTTAGCCCATTAGAGGTGCCACACCTGCCCCTTCCATACATTCCACTGCTTCACAGAGCAGCTGATGTCACCTCCTCTTCTACTTCTCCCCAGGCTTGAACCAGCTGCTGCCCTATCAGACGCACTCTCGTGTGTCTGCAAGGCCGCTGGGCTGAAGGTTGCAGGGGCTGAGATGGATGGTTACAGAATGCTGCTGCCAATTGGTCTGAAATTCCCTGCAGGTTAGTCTTCTCCTTTGGACTTCTGGCATTCCCAGAAGAAAAGGGAAGACAAGGTAGAAGAGAGTTTTAATTTTAGTACCTCAAGACAATTCAAGTATCTACTTTTTCAGGCATGTATTCACGGGGGGAATAAAATACCCCGGTCTGCTTCCACTGGACTTTGAACGCCTTGAAAGCCAGGGCTGGGTCTCAGCCCCACTATGTTCCCATCTCCTGGCATGGTTCTGGTCACATAGTTTATACTCAATAAAGTTTGTTGAAAATAATTGACGAATGACTGATCGATATTGATTCTGAAGTGTAGGAGGATGTTTCCTGGCTCAGAATGTATGCAATTCAAATTCCAAGTACCATGAAAGGAAATAATCTAAGAGAGGGGTCAGAAGGAGCTCTGAGGGCAGGGCCAAGTGTCTGGGGTATGGGATGGCCTGTAAAGAGGTTCCTACTCACTGACTCCATGTTTTTACCGTCTGCTGAGCACCAATCACTAAGGCCTTTAAAAATTTTCCTCCTGCTTCTCTCTTGGGACCTTGAACCAAAGCAGGCATGAAAAAACTAAAGGATGAAGTTCTGATTCAGGCAAAGGACAGAACCTGGGAAGATTGAGGAGATGGTACTGAGAAAATGAGGAGGGCTTTCCCACACTCTTTCTCCTCCACTTCTGCACTGGGACAACACTCACTGTTTGCTTATGCAAACTCCATTCACAAGGTGTTTTCAGGATGCCTGCAGAATGAATGGTATGGCCACTCTGAGGTGGGCATTGAAGGTAAACAGATGCAGAGGGGCCTTCCTGGATATATAGTGAGGAGGGGGTCTGCCTCACTACGAAGTGGCAAACCCAAACACATAAATACATCAGCTCTGTTACTAACCCCTATGTACCATCCTCAGATTTTTAAAAAATAAATTAGAGAATCAAACTCTGTGCCTTGAGCTCATGGAACCCCTGGGCCAAAGTTGATAACTGGATGATTCTACTAGTGTTTGTAGATACCTTTCTTATTCTAACCTTTCTCTCCCAATTAAATTTTATAATCTTAAAAAATGAGGGCTATAGAGGGAACCAGACTCTCTCTGCCACATATCCTGCCACCCCATAAACTATTCTTTTGCCTATTTATATTCCCCCTCCCCACTTATTCTTTCATTTCCAATGACACAAAAAGGAATAACGTGTGATAGGTGAGACCAGACATAGGGGCTTCTAACTGTGTGATCTGACTGCCAAGACCATGGGTATTCTTCTTTCTCCTTCAGGAAGAGATCTCACAGAGGCCTGTGACTAGAGGGGGATTGTCCAGGGGGCAAGTGAAGGAAAGCCATTTTGACTTTGGGTCCAAATCATATTATGCAATCAGTTAGGCATTTGTTGAATAAATACTTTTATCCTTTCCAAACTCTCATGTGTATCTCAGGTGCTTCTGAACTCTCAAATCCTCAAAGGAGAACTGTGCCCAAGCCCCTTACATTTTAGAAAGGCATGAGAGAAAGAACTTCAGCCCACCCTAGAGAGGCATGTTTTGCCTTCCATTTCTGTCTTACTGAACCCTGCCTGGAACCAGTAGTATGACATTTGAGGGGGAGGCAGAACACAGAACTTCTGGCACTTATTTCCACATTGCTTTTTCCTCCTGTCTTGTTCTGTTCCGACCAGTTCACACTGTATCCTGCTTAACCACAGGGCTCCCAACCCTTCGGTGCTAAGAGGGTCCACTCGCCTTTGCTCCTCCCAGACCTTCTCTTTCCACTGCACTGTCCACCAAGCTCTCTCCTTGATCATGTTCAGGAAGAAAGCATCCTTAGCTCCTTTCTCCAGCTCAGTTCACAAAGAGTTCTAGCCTGGGTGACAGGAGGCATAGGTTTTAATCCTGTCTCTGCCACTAGCTAGCCATGTGACCTTGGGCATGTCATTTCTCCTGCAGGGGCTTCAGTTTTCCCATCTGTAAAGTCATCCCATAGACTCTATGTTTATACGGGGGCTCATTGTATGATTTATGAAAAAAATAAAAATAAGAAGACTCCACTGCTAAAAACAAAACTTTTGAAAGCTTCTGAATGAGATGTTCCGCAAGCCTTTTTGGCTCTGGTTGCCTGTGACTTTTTTGTATATGCCCCTGTTCCTCCTACCTCTGTGATCTTCCCCTCCTCATACTTCCCCTCTCCCCTTTTCTGCCTCACCCCACCAGAACACACCTTCTTAATTGGGTTCCAAAGAAAAATACAGAAGTCTCTTTGGCTCCATTCCTCGTGGGTTCACTTGAGCACCAGGTTTTAACATTCTTTTCAGGGAGAGTTATGTGAGTTATCAGAGCATAGATTGCTGATTGTTCTCTGCCTATCTCTTTTTGGCAGGCCTCAGATGAGCTGTAAAGGAGCTGAGGGGATCTGCTCTCAAGAGACATCTCCAGGAGAGAGACAGAAACCCAAACAGATGTGACTGTGATGAGTAAAAATGAGAGAATTCAGACAGCCTAATCAGGAGCAGCCTCGGTACCTTTTGGGCAAGAAGGAATTGGCTGTATAACTGAAAAAGAGAGATTCCTAACACCCTTCCTTTGTGAAGATAAATGTAATTGGAGCCACCTGCCAGTTTGCTCTCCATCTTCACTAACAGCCCATCAAAACCTCTGAGCAACCAGTTACCAGGTCAAAGACTGATGATCAGCTCAAAGAGAGGAAAGGAAGGCAGGGTCAAGTACACCAAGGGCAAGTGACACTGGGAATTAGCTGTTAACTGGGGAAGGCAGCAGAGGGGGTATTTAAGAGATTGGGTAGCAAGTACCACCTTTTGTGGTCTATCTAATTATGTCCAAAAGCCCAGAGAAACGACTGGATAGAAATACAAATGAGGAGATGAGAGAAAAGCCATTAGTAAAGGCTCTTGCCGTTTAACTCCAAGAGGAAGAAAAATACGATTTAAAGAAATCTTGTCAATGTCACAATGGAATTTCAGGGACAGACAGAGTGACTACTGTATTCTGTAACATAACCTGACACATGTATTAGCTGGCAGAGAGTCTCTCCTAGTCAGATCATTTGGGGGAATTATGCTTCAGAAACAAAGGTCTCCAGAACCAATTTTTTAGAAATTGATTGGCTCTCCTGATTTGCATTCAGAATATAAAAACCAGGGGACCCTAGGCTTGCACTGCACTAGGATGGGGAGTTGGTTTTCGTCATATCCTCCTTCTGAGTTCAGTCTCTAAATACTTAAACTGTAGAATTTTCTGAAGCTACCTCTGGTTTATATTCAAAATCACAACAAATACATACATATACCCATAGATAAATAAATAAATAGGCATGTACAACCAATTGGGAACACACTGATTAATTCTGAACCTTAAAAAAATCCTATGACCCACATAAAAATTTCATTGTTCAGTCATAATTTATGAACGTCATAACCATAAAGCACCCTGGTGGTATTAATCATATCTACGAATTCAGCTCTTTGCCATTTAATTAGCCAGAGCAGCTGCAACATCCAGAGTTCAAGGCCTCTGATTACCTGCTTGGTCATTTAATCAAGAAAACCTGGAGAGAAATATCAGCTTGCTGAGGTGGAGGTTTCTCCCTCATCATAAGGTGAGAACACAAGGAAATGAGCGTAAGCTTCAATATGTGGGGATTTCAGTTTAGTCCAAGGAAA